ACAGAAAAACAGGGTAGCCAGAGGGAATCCACAAGCTCTTTGATTCCCAATTCCTGTAAAGATTATCTTGATTAGTGTAAACTATTTTGTGACTCAAACTCTCTCGACATCTAGCATTTCACTGCTCCCTATGCTCAGAGGCTGCTCCCTGAGCCTTGGGATATCTCATGATTGGGGCTCCAGAGGGACTCTGAGATAATTTAAAATCCTACAAAGGTAGGAGATATTTTTATTTCTGCTAACTTGGAGGAAGTCACCCTAGGTAATAGGATAGACTTCAATGTATAGCATCCTCTCTCTCTATGATTCTGAATGAAAAAGACCATTTGGGGTCTGCAGGTGGAGAACACAAGTCCAGTTCCATGGCACCTGTGGGAAAGAGATGTTTTGGATAGAGAGCCTTACTACTCTACAGAAGAAACTGAAGATAAAAGAAGGGGGAAAAAAGATATTTGTTTTACTTAATTGAACCAGTCATGACCCTTTTGACCACGTGAGTGCTCAGAGCATCTCCCATCTTTCTCAGTTTTTACATTTACCCTCACTCTGGAATCCTGGGTAGCAAAGATTGTTGGAAGAAATCACCATTAAGGGCTTCTTTCTCATTTTATGCAATGACTAAAGTTCTTTCCACCATTCACTCTATAAAACGGCATGTAGGAATGCATTCATTTATTCTTTTCTTATTAATTAATCATTAATTGAGCATCAATCATGTTTTAAGCAGCACACAGTTGCTTAGGATTAACAAATTGGTTGGATATATTCCCTGACATGGAGAAAATATATTTCTATGGCATGGAGAGAATAATAGTCTTTATGATACAAAGATGTGTAAAAGACATTCTCTTGGTTCTTTCCCAAATTCTCTGAAGAATGCTTATATTTCTTCTCCTTTACCTTCCCTTCTCCTTTTCCTAAAACATAGTATTTCCCAAGTTTTGGCCTCCAGTCCTTATTTTGTCCTTGTTTTACCCTGTCTCTCCTAGTGACCTTATTCAGGCTTAAGACATTATCTGTTATCTTCATACAGGGTAATACTTCCCAAATTCTTTAACATGGGGCTCTCCATAGCAAATACAATCATAATGAATCATTTTAAAGCAATTTATTATGTATTGAAATATTTCATGAGCATCATCATATTTAATCTTCACAGCAATTCTTTGAGGTAAATATTATCTCAGTTAATCAAAAACAAGCATTTAGTGAGTACCCACTATCTACCAAGCACAATTATAAGAACATCTCGCATTCTTAAGGAGCACAGTTATAGTGGTACAAGGGAAGATACAGATTTATGAGAGACATAATACCAGGGATATTATTCAGTGGTTTGGCAGGGACTTTCCTATTTTACTCCTATTGTCCCATATTAATTATTAATAATGCCCCCTCTCTCACTCGAAAGTGTCCTAGTTGGAAGGATAAACTTAAGTGGTTAGTTAAGGGTGAGGTAACTGATGCAGAGAATGCTCTCTGCTTCACTAAAGATGAGAAGCTGAAGTTCAGAGATTGTTCATAATCACACCACCAAAAATCAGTACTTTAACTTGGGTCTTTAGACCTCTAATCCAAATTCTTTTTAATATGCCATGTTGTCTCTTTCCTAGACAAATGTTTGAATTTGAATTGAATCTTCTAGGAAAGTGGTATTCATTTCTAACTAGAAGTGTAACCCTAAATTAATATTTGAATTATCAATTATCATATTTGGTTCCCCGTGCGTCTTTCATGCCTATGAACCTGTCTGGTTGTGGGCTTAGAAATGGTGAGGAGCTTAAATGTTAAAATTAAAAAAATGTTTGAAGTTACAAAGACACAATTTTTTAAAGACATGGGAAATATTTCATCTTAAAGAGTGTTATTTTCAGAAGATATTTCTCATAGTTTTTCTTTGCTCTCAGTTGTTGTCCTACAGAGAATAATGTTTATACTGCTTTAGAACCAATAGAAATGTGACTCATGCTTCACCTTGCGTATCACTGATATCATGCATTAGCATGATTCATATTTTACTGTGTTTTGAATAGTTTAGTAGGACGAGTCCTTGCATGCAGGGTGTAGGGGAGAAAGTAGGCTCTTAAGCCATGGTTCCCAATCTTCTCCATCACGTTTTATTTTTGACGTTACCATAATTCAGAGGAGACCTCCACGGGTATTTTCTAAATACCTCTCAAAACTGTGAGTTATTTAGCATTAGCTATACTCATGCTAATATTAAGTCAGTACATTACAAGAGTATTTTCATTCTTACCCAGAGTGAAGGAGTAAATAATGCTTTCTGGGTACCTGCAATATGCTAGACATCATACTAGATGCTTCATGTTGCATTATCCTGTATAAACTACCCAACAACTCTTAGAATGTAATACCATCCCTATTTTAGAGATAAGTAAACTGAAAACTAGCAAAGTCACAAAATTGTTAAGCAAGAGCCCAGATTTAAAACCAAATATGCCTGCCTCAAAAATCTTATCTTTCCTTCTCACCATTCCCTCAAAGCAGTTATTTTATTAGCCCTCTCTGTTCATTGAGCCTAACAGAAATTGTTTAGGAGCCTACAAGGATAGCTGTGTAAAGAGATGGCTAATCTATATCATGGGGCCACTCAATGGCCATGTACTCTTTCTTTGACACAACTTTAGCACAAGTAAAAACTCACTTCAGGTCCAAATGATCCCTCACTGGAAGCAGACAAAAGTAGTCTGAAAAAGTGAAGAATACTGACTTTCCTTCAGCAAAAAACTCAAAGGACTCAAAGATTTAAAGAACCCAATACAATAAACAGAATCTCTATAGACTGGATACCATAAGACAATAATAACAAAGTACATCGATCGCATTACTATATGTTGATAATGCTATTCTAGTTCTACTTCTCACATGAACTAAGATGCATGATCTAAATCTAGAACCTATGGTTGTGTGAATAATTTTTGTACTATTTTAAGTATTTTTGCACTAATTCCTTTCACATCCTTTTCTTTTTATTACAGAATTTTCCACTAATCATCACTTTCTCCTTTTCCTTCTCTTCAAGGAGATCCATTATCCTCCCTTAGCTCTACCTACACCTATCATTTACATTTTTTTACTCCAGCAAGAGACACTTATCAGCTACCAGCAATTATGAAGATGTTCAAGGCTCATCCTGTCTTTCCTAGATCAGGAATTAGATACTCTATGTTTAGATGAATGTCTAAATTCCTTTCATTAGTCATCGACTCTCATGCCAAAATCAGGCTAACTACAACCATTGTTTTCCATGGTTAATAAAAAAGGCTTAAAATAGTCTAAAGACAAAAGGAATCATTTCAGATCACTCTAAAATTCTACTCAACAAAACCGCATTTATTGGGTGCTACTATTTCCTATGTCGCAGATGCAGTGGTGAACAAGAATGAACATGGTCTCTTTATGTAAGTTATAGTCAAAATATACCATAACTTAATTTCCAACTTTTCATTTATTCATTTATCTAACAAATATTTATATACCGGCTATTCACAGGCACTGTGATAAATACTGCAGATAATGATAAATTATAGTCTTTACTCTCAGGAACCTTATAGTCTAATAGAACCTAAACTCAATTCCATTGGAATTTTTTATATATATATGGATAATATCAACCTATGTTACCACTTTCAATATTTTTGGAAGATAGAATTGTCGATCAGTAACTATTAATTGTAAAAGAGGATCAGAGAAATTGACTAGGAGTTGTAATCAGAAGGCAGGACAACTATAATTAGACAATTTTCATACACATTGAAACTCCAAAAAACAGATCATAAAAGTAAAAACTGTAAGTGAAAACATCATCTCTTCTTGGAAGATTCATAAGCACCTTTAAACGCAAGCATTGTTAACAGACAGCTGACCACAGCACAGCCTAGTGGCCCTTTCATGTTCCCAGCATAGTCAGTCACGTGACTTTTTCCTTTAAAATAAAACAAACAGTCAAACTCATAGAAGAAAAGTGTAGCATTTATCAGGGGCAAGAGTGAAGGGGAAACAGGGAGTTGCTAATCAAAATGTATAAAGTTTCAGGAACGCAAGATGAATAAATTCTATAGATCTGCTGTACAACATTGTGCTGCCCATAGTAAACAATATGGTATTGTACACTTAAAAATCTATTGAGGGTAGATTTCTTGTTAAGTTTTCTTACCACAGTAAAATACAAATTTAAATCAAAAAAATTAAAAAACACAAAATTTTCAGAATTGGAATACTTTTACTTGATTCAAAAATTCCAATTGTTAGCCAACATCAAATATTGCATAATTACACCTTTATATTTGATGTGACTTCACTAAAACCTACCATCTATGTAATACAACTTAGCTGCTTAATTCTAAACAATTTAAAACCCCAGGTAATAGCCAAATTTGTCACCATTAGTTTCTTTTCAGTCAAATGAACATTGCTAAATAAGACAATGCTCAAACTAAGGAATATATCCAATTAGAATGATATCAGTAAAACCCAATTCTTAATGCTCATTGCCGTGTATCACAATCTATTGTTATCAATAGAAGTGTGAGTGCCCAAATTGACTTTTGATGGATATTTAGGGTGTTTGAATAGCTATAGACGTACTCTGAAACCAGGAGGATCAGGGTTCCAGGTTGGTCTGTTTTAGGGCATTTATTGTTGTATAATTGGTTGTGGACATTAATTAAATTATGTCTATCTGTTCAATATTGAAATCTCTGTTCTCTTAGCACATGTAGTATCTCACCATGTTAATGCTTCATTTTGGTTTGTATTTATATTTGTGAATAAACATGGTATCTTGAGATATGAAGGCATAGATTTAGCAGCTGATGAATGTCTTTGGCAGAATTTCTACTCCTTAATTTGAACACCATCTTTATGTCTAAACAAATATTGGTGGCGATGAATGCACTGGTGTTGAGTCTGTCACAAATCAGCCTCCATATTCATGCTTTCATGTCTTTCATCTCTGATCAGACTTCCCTTCCAGAAACATGAGGAATCACACAGAGCTGAATGAATTTATTCTACTGGGAATACCTCAGGCAGAGGGATTGGAGACGGTGCTCTTCGTCATTTTCTCATTCATTTACCTCTTCACCATGATTGGCAATTTACTCATCTTTACAGCAATTGTTTCATCCTCTGCCCTTCACACTCCCATGTATTTCTTCTTGGGACTTTTATCTATTTTTGATGTATTGTTCCCATCTGTAACCTGTCCCAAGATGCTATTCTATCTCTCTGGCCAGAGCCAAGCCATTTCTTATAAGGGATGTGCTGCACAGCTCTTCTTTCATCATTTTCTGGGATCTACTGAAGGCTGCCTCTATTCTGTGATGGCTTATGATCGCTTTGTTGCCATCTGTCACCCACTGAGGTATATGCTCATCATGAGACCTGGAGTCTGTGTTGGTTTGGTCATGGCAGCCTGGTTGGTGGGTTGTCTTCAGGCCACCATCCTGACCTCCTTTACCTTTCAGTTAACCTATTGTGGCCCCAATCGGGTAGACTACTTCTTCTGTGACATTCCTGCTGTCTTACCCCTGGCTTGTGCCGACACCTCCCTGGCCCAGAAAGTGGGTTCCGCTAACGTTGGTTTTCTGGCTTTAATGCTTTGGTTCAGTGTTTGTGTCTCCTACACACGCATTGGGATTGCCATTTTGAGAATTCGTTCAGCAAAGGGCAGGCAGAAGGCTTTCTCTACCTGCAGTGCCCACCTCACTGCAATCCTCTGTGCCTACGGACCTGTAATCATCATCTACCTGCAGCCCACACCCAACCCTTTGCTTGGTGCCGTGGTGCAAATATTAAATAATGTAGTCTCACCCATGCTGAACTCGTTAATCTATTCCTTAAGGAATAAAGAAGTGAAAAGATCCCTAAAAAGGGTACTCTACAATGTAATATTTACTGCTCTGGAATAAATTATGTGTTTTGTAATGGAATTTAGAAATATAATGTCTCAATATCATCCTCCTATTTCCTCTTCTTAAATAGATAAGCAGATAATAGAAAACACTTTGTCTAAAGCATCATGTTTTGTTTGCCTTATAAGATTTTGTATCTCTGTAACCCATGGGACACCATATGTAACTCTATAGCTAATATTATCCTCAGTGCCATAATCCTAGAAACAGAATCCAAGGAGAAAAGAAAGAAGTTGGATACAGATTTCTTATCCCTATAATGGGCAGCCAATTTTGCCTTGTTGAGGATCCATGGCAGTGCAAGAAGCACCCTTTACTAGACATCTCTATTCCAAATCACCTTCATTTCATTTTTTTGGCTCCATTTAGAGTGTAATCATGCCCATTTTCCATCTATAAACATTTCACTTTCTCCCTGTTGCTAAGAACAGTATTAACTACTATTTATAGAACATGATCTGTTCTCTAGGCACTGTGATGAACATTTTACAGATATTATCTTATTTAATCTTTATTTCACTCCCCATAAAGTGGAGTCCATTTTGTTAAAAAGAGCTTTGAGGACCAGAGACTTCAAATAATAGACCCAGGTTTGCATATTAAGTGGCAAACCAGACCTCGAGTTCAGATCCAGTTAACTCCAAATCCCCTACTCTTGATCCGTCTCCCGTATGACTGCCCTAAAGCACCAGCTTGGCAGTTAACTCATCCTCATTATTTCTCTCCAGAGCTTGTGATACATAGAAAGTGGTTGATAAATTATTTGTAAAATATGCACTGAAATAGGTCATGTTTATATATTGACTTTACTATTATCTTCTTTTATTCTGTGCTACTACCCATGTACCCATCTGTAGATTGCGGCACTGAGATATGGCAGTAAGTCTCCTTCACTTTGTAACACATCTAGGTACAGCAAAGCCAGGCCTACACCCAAGACCTCTTAACTCCTACTGTTATGGTCTTCCTACTGCACCATGTTGTCAATATCTCAAACTACTCTTTAGTGGGAAAAGATTGGGAAAATCTTCCTGCCCAATGTTGTTTGACGAGAAAATGGCCTAATTATGGGGTTCGATGCTCATGTTCATCTGGTCTCTCACCAAGTTACATTTTCCAACTTGTCCTCCAACACTACTGGAGTTGATAATTTTTCTCAATTTTCTCCAGAATGCAGAGAGAAAGATAGGACACTATTTTCTGGAGATCCCACAGACACACTAGCCCTTAGTTTCTATGACATTTTAGTGATTTGTAGTTTTTTCTTTTTTTTTGAATTGAGATAACATCGATTTATAACATTATATGAATTTTAAGTGTACATCATTATATTTCGATTTCTCTGTAGAATACATCATGTTCACCACCCAAAGACTGGTTACCGTCCATCACTATGTGCCCTGTCACCCCTTTTGCCCTCCTCCCTCCCTACTTATCTTCTGGTAACCACCAATCTAATTTTTCTATCTACATGTTTGTTTGTTGTGGTGGTTGTTTTAGTCTTCTACTTATGAGTGAGATCATGCAGTATTTGACTTTCTCCATCTGACTTATTTCACTTAATACAATACCCTCATATTCCATTCATATGTTGCAAATGGCAACATTTTATCATTTTTACAGATGAGTAGTATTCCATTGTACAAATGTACAACATCTTTGCCCATTCATCCCTTGATAGGCACTTAGGTTGTCTCCAAGTCTTGGCTATTGTGAAGCATCTTGCAATGAACATAGGGGTGCATATATCTTTATGCATTCATGTTTTTGTGTTCTTTGAATAAATACCCAGAAGTGGAATAGCTGGATAATATGGTATTTCTAGTCTTAATTTTTACAAGAGTCTCCATACTATTTTTCATAGTTGCTGTATCAATTTGAACTCCCACCAGGAGAGTATGAGAGTTCCCTTTACCCCACGTCCTCTCCAACACTTGTTATTTTTTGTCTTGTTGATTACAGTCATTTTGATGGGTGTCCGGCTATAGCTCCTTGTAGTTTTGACTTGCATTTCCCTAATAATTAATGATGTTGAACATCTTTTCATGCACCTGTTGGCCATCTGTATATATCTTCTTTGGAAAAATGTCTTTTGCCCATTTTTTAATTGAGTTCTTTGTTTTTTTTGTTGTTGAGATGTATGAGTTCTTTATATATTTTGGATATTAACCCCTTACCTGATATATGGATGGCAAATATCTTCTCCCAATTGTTAGGTTGTCTTTTTGTTTGTTGATTGTTTCCTTTGCTGTGTATAATGTTTTTACTTGATGTAGTCCTATTGTTTATTATTTCTTTTGTTTCCCTTGCCTAGTCATGCATGGTATTTGAAAATGTGCTGTTTGAGCTGATGAGTGTACTGCCTGTGTTTTCTTCTAGAAGTTTTATGGTTTCAAGTCTTACATTCAAGTCTTTAATCCATTTTGAGTGAATTTTTGTGTGTGGTATAAGATAATGGTCTGCTTTCATTCTTTTGCATGTAGCTCTCCAGTTTTCCCAACATGATTTATTGAAGAGACTTTCCTTTCTCCATTGTAAATTTTTGACTCCTTTATTGAGGATTAGCTGTCCATAGATGTGTGGGATTAATTCTGGGTTCTTGATACTGTTTCATTGATCTGTGTGTCTATTTTTGTGCCAGTACCATGCTGTTTTGATTACTGTAGCTTTGTAGTATATTTTGAAATCAGAGCGTGTGATACTTCGAACTTTGTCCTTTTTTTCTCAGGATTCCTTTGGCTATTTGGGATCTTTTGTTGTCCCATATAAATTTTAGGATTCTTTGTTCTATATCTGTGAAAAATATCATTGGAACTTTGATAGGAATTGTATTGAATCTGTAGATTGCTAGGAAGTATGGATATTTTAACTAAGTTAATTCTTTCAATCTAAGAACATGGAATATCTTTCCATTTCTTTGTGTCTTCTTCAATTTCTTTCGACAATGGTTTATAGTTTTCAGTGATTTGCAGTTTTTGTATTCCATTTTTACTCTGAAAAGTTTCCATCTTATTTGAAACCATTAAAACACAACAAAAAAGTGAAAATCCTAATAACACAAATTCCTTCCTCTTCAAAAGGCATGATACAAAAAGTACAGAATGAAACCCATTTAAGCATAGATAAATGGTTTGAGGTGCAATATAGGGGTTATATGACCTCTCTCAACCTGACTAGTAATATCTAAGATCACACACAAACTTATTTCCATACCTTGGGAATCCCTCTGCTAGGCACTATGCTGGATTCAAGACATTCTAGCATAAATTTGCTGTCTTACTAATGCTGGATATTGGCAGAAGAACCCACATGCTATAATATCTGGTCAGTGTTTATGAACAGGTGTTCATCACACTAATACTTAAACACGTTCAATAGATTTCTTTTCTATATGACAGAAAATTCCATAAGAGGAGAGACCACGTTTGCCTTATTCACTGTTGTGTCTGCAGGACATAGCCCAGTCACATAGTAAGCATCTCATGTAAGTTTTTTGAATGAATGAATGGATACTACCTAGCCTTTCAAATTAGAATACAACTGCATATTTATTCACATAAAAAGAGGAACATGAGTGAAATAACTAGGATACAGAACAACATGCACGAATTTAAACATATATCCACATTTAAGGAAAATTGAAATCTGAATGAACTCCAACCACTTTTTTGGCCACCTCTAAATCAGTGTTATAACGGCTGTCTGGCATTGAAAAACAATGTTTAAAACAGTTTAAATCTTTCCTATATCTAAATATTTGGCAAAGCACCTAAAATACTGTCATATTATTTAATTTTAAACACATGTACTCACACCTTGTTAAAACCTTACTCTATCAACAGCAATGAGAACATAACTTGATTGAAGAATGGGCAAAGTACTTAGATGTTTCTCCAAAGAAGACATACAAATGGCCAACAAGCCTATGAAAAGATGCTCAATATCACTAATAACTAGTGAATGCAAGTCAAATTCACACGGAGATATCTCACATTCATTAGGATAGCTGTTACCTTTAAAAAATAATAAGTATTGGCTAGGATTTGGAGAAATCGGAACACTTGTGCACTGTAGATGGGAACCTAAAATGGCACAACCACTATGGCAAATAGTATGATGCATCCTCAAAAAATTTAGAAACAGAATTACCATATGACTCAGCAATTCCACTTCTTGGTATATATACAAAAGAATTGGAAGCAGGGTCTTGAAGAGGTATTCATGTTCACAGTATTTTTAGAGTAGCATTATTCATAATAGCCAGTAGGTGGAAGTAATCCAAGATTCCATTGATGATGAATGGATAAACAAAATGTGGTATATACATACATAGAACATTATTCAGACTGAAAAAGGAAGGAAATCCTGACACATGCTACAACGTGGAAGAACGTTGAGGACGATATGGTAAGTGAAATAAACCAGTCACAAAAAGACAAATTCTGTATTGTTTCAGTTATATGAGGTTTTTAGAGTACTCAAATTCATAGAAAAAGAAGGTAAGATGGTGGTTGCAGGGCCTTGGGGAGGGGAGAATAAGTAATTGTTTAATGGATACAGAGTTGAAGTTTTGCAAGATAAAGTTCTGGATATTGTTTGCACAACAGTTTGAATATTCTTAACACTGTTGAACTGTCCACTTAAAAATGGTTAACATAGTAAATTTTATGCTTTGTGTATTTTATCACAATTTAAAAATAAGGCTGCTTATCCAGTTTTCACACAGCCTGTGGTTTTTGAGTTTGCTAGTTCTCTCCTTTTTCTTATAACCATGTCTGTTGTTGAATCCTCTGAAGTCACTGTTTAATTGTTAAATACCTCAGTAGGTGTGGCAGAGAAGACTTTGAGAAAGGTAGCCTGTTAGCCTTCAGGGGATCTACCTAGAGTTACCATTTATCCAGTCCTTTCTCCTTCCAACTACTTTGCAATTGCTTTACATATATTATCTAATTGATCTACATAGAAACGATGAGATCATTCTACAGAAGGGGAGCAAG